AAATGCATATGTAAATAAATAAATAAATAAATAAATAAAAATTACAATTGTATCTCATTGAAACTTTACCTTCAAGTTTGTGTGTTTCTATGTTGATTGACTAACTGTGTATTTCCAAAGGAAGACCAGCAGATTACAGGCTGAACTTCATAGAGAATGGATTATAGATGGTTGAAAATATTTGAACAAAAAAAACATTAATCTTCCATGTTGAGGACTGTAGAAATAAAACCATTTTGTTAATATGACAGAGTACTGCATGAAACAATGCATGTTTAAATACAACATGTACAATGCCATAAAAGATCATGAAAATATTTGATTTTAATCTCAAAAAATTGTTTTTAACATTAACTCCAGATGAGAAAAGTTCATCATGTTATCTATAGATAATAAACAAGCACAACTACTGTATTAATATCATAAATAAAATGATTATCAGATTAATTATTTAGACACTAAAAAACTTACTATCTTTATGATATTGATTTCCATTATCAGATGTTTTTTATCCATTTTTTTTTATCCATTTTAAAATATAAACATTTAAATAAAACAGAATTAAATAAATTAAAATGATATCTCATTGAAACTTTACCTTCAAGTTTGATTGTTTCTATGTTGGTTGACTAACTATGTATTTCCAAAGGAATTTGGGCAGACAGGCTGAACTTCATAGAGAATGGATTATAGATGGTTAGGAATAAAACATATCTTCCAGGTTGAGGACTGTAGAAAATATAATCATTTTGTTAATATGACAAGGAACTGCATGAAACATTGCATGTTTAAATACAGTGCCAAAAAGTTCATGAAAATAGTTCATCATGTTATCTTTAGATAACAAAAGAAGCACAGTTACTGTATTAATATCACAAATACAAAATGATTATCAGTGTAATTTTTAGACACTAACAGACTTTCTCTTAACAGCATATTCAATTTTGTTTAATACCTGTCAGTACAGCATACAAAAAGATATTAGCATATACAACATGTAGTCCTACATTTTTTGAAAAGCTCATTACCAAGAAACAAAAGTGAAAATGAAAATATATGTATGCCATATATACCACATATTTAGAATCAAAACAAGGATAAACCTTTTGTAGATTCTTACTTTTTCTTTTATTACATTCCTTATAGATCACAATTTAGTAAGTCTGAATTCCATGGGTAACAGACATAATGAATTATGACATTATATCATAATTTATGCAAAAGGACTTATTAACAATATGAAGTTTCCTTAGTATATTTTAGACAAAATAAGACTGTGCTTATATGAATGTTAGAGATATTAGATCACATAAGAATTACACAGTAATTAAATTAAACCATATAATCATGGTTAAATGCAAAGATGACCTTCATAGGAAATGTAAACAAAACAAAGACAAACTTACCAGAATTATCCAATTATATGCCCAATTAAATAATCCAGTGAAACAACATCTTAGCTGATCCTGAAAAAAAGCATACAATATTCAGTGATACACAAATTAACCTCATTTTACAAAGGAAGTAAAGCAACAATTGACAGACAAACAGGACAGAAATGTAAAAGATACCATATGTATTTTACCAAAATTTAGTAAACATTTTTTCTGATTTAAATTCAATCACAGAATGACCCATCATAGTAATATTAAATACACTCTGGGTTACATGCAAATTATACCTTACATGAACTGAGAATAAATACCCCATTTACATTCATATAAACTGAATTTTACATAACTAATTACTCTTTTAACTGATGTCACCATTAGTATGTCAGAATATTCAGGGTGTACAAATCATGCATATTCACTTTTAAAGTACTCAATATATATTTTACATGTTGATGTTTGAAATCACTGACTAAATAAAATACATACATGTATATACATGAAGGTTTAAAAAAAAAAAAGGGGGGGCACACATGTTTATAGATTTACAGAGATGCTCAGACTGAGTTTTTCCCACTTTCATTGGGCCACTGTTGCACCAGAATGTAAAAATATGAGTGACAAATAAGGCAAAAGATTCTGTATATTTCATTAAAAAAGATTTGAGACAAAAGATTCATTGGCATAATATGATCTGATTGATTATCTCCATATCCTTCTTTTGGTCACTGTGATTAAAGATTCATAGAAATATTAGAAATAACAACTGAGAATATCACTTTAGTTGTTTTAAAAGCATGTATCAGTATTTTATAAGATATGCTAGGAGTCTCCTCATAAGAATATTTAGAATACTGATCCAATAAAAGGAATGTGAGACAATATGATCATAACTCATGCAAAAAAGATTTATCAACATTTTGAGGATCTTTTAGTGTCCTAGTGTATTTCAGGGTAAACAATGGCAGTGTTTATATGAATGTTCTAAACATAAGGTATATAACACAGTAATAATGAATAAATACAAAGATGACCTTCATAGAAAATGTATAAAGAAAAGTTTGTTAAAACTTACCATGTAACCAGGTAACTCAGTAGAGTAATATTCATTAAATAATCCAGTGAAATAACATCTAGGCTGATCCAGGATTCAGCTGTTCAGAACTTTCTTGGAAGAAAAACGGTAGAAAATCAGTTTTGGTACTGAAATCCATAGGACCATACTGTTATTACATGAAGTCTCAAGCGCTGTGAAAGTCTGTGTTATTGTGTCAAAATAAGCAGCCATCGCGGCTTGTGAAGGACTAACATGACGTCGCTGCCAAGTTTATGACGTCACAATGCATAGGTAAGCTCGCTGACTAGATAGTTTACAGAAAGATAAGTCCAACCTATTTTTGCAAGATGATGCAACAGATATAAAAAAGATGATGCAACAGGTATCAAAAAAGATGATGCAACAAGTATTAAAAAGATGATGCAACAGTATAAAAAAGATATGCAATAGATCTAAAAGATGATGCAACAGGTATATCAAAAAGATGATGCAATAGATCTAAAAAGATGATGCAACATATGTACTGAATTGACCCAGCTATCCCCTCCAGGGGCTGCACTCTCTTGACCCACCTATCCCCCACAGGGGCTGCACTCTCTTGACCCACCTATCCCCCACAGGGGCTGCACTCCCTTGACCCGGCTATCCCCCTCAGCCCAAAAGTGCACTCAGTTGACCCACCCGGCCAGACCCCTCCAAACCTGCACTCTCTTGAACCGCCTATCCCCCTCAGCCCCAAAAGTGCATGCGAGCTCAAAAGTCAATTAAACATTACAAAACATATATCCAAAGCGAAAGCGATTTTTTATTAAAGTAGCATATACATTTTCTGAACGATTTATGAATAAAAGTAACCTTACTTTATTTGGCTTATTGGCTGTATAAAGAATTGAAGAACTGGTTCTTTCCCGTAACAATATCATTTTACTCTGGTTTAGGTACACAGAATTATGTGCTACTTTTAAATACATTTCTCGAAGCCAAATAAATTTTCCGATTTACCTTTGTGAATTTTTGAATTTGGAATATAAAAAAAAAAACAAAAGGCACTGTCTGTTTGACAGTTTTAATTTTTTGTTTGTTTCTTTTATTCAACGTCACTTTCGGGAAACGTTTACTCAAGTATAAAGCGCCACTACTTCCAGGTGTTCATCACAGATTAAGATCAGACGACAGGTTCCGCAAATATATGTTTAGTATTTCTTGGTATTATATAAAAGAAAATATGCATATTTGTCATTCTCTTGTGATTTCTAAATGGTTTTCAAAACATTTCTAAATATAAGTACACCAAAAATTATGATTTAGGCAATTCAGAAGATTACCCATAGGGGTTTTATAAGAAATATGACCCTGTGATATCTTGTCCAAATGCCTCATAAGGTACCCTAATTTTCTGTGAGGAAACTTGTTTAAGTACCTATACTTCAATGACAATATCTTATGAAAAATTATATATTTTTGAGGAACATGTCGTCTGACCCTAAATATAACAATGTTTTGGGCCATGTGCGGTGAAGAATCTCTTTGTGCCAGCACCAAGGGTACTGCAACAAAATTTGCAATATGGTGACCTGAAGTGTGACTTTGGTATGCTTGCTTCATCAGCTTGTTTGTCAATAGCTTGAATTGTTTTAGAAAGTGTTCGTATGTTGAACTATTGCGTATGGAATTTATTGGCATACATTAACTCCATACACAGGTGATAAGAATATATTGCCTCATATACAAGGAAAGTTGAGACAGGAAAGTTGAAGTAAAATGGCGTTTTTCATTAAGTTAACGTTTTACTGTTAGATTACCATTAATGTCCTTTCTAGTATGATATCAAATTTTAAAACAAGTGTTTCAGACTCTGTGGAATCTTTTATTTCAAATTCCAAGCAAAGTCAGATCGGTCGACATATAAATGAAAGAAAATATTGTTAATTGATAATCATTTATTTAATATTGACTTGAAGGTAATTTGTATATTCAAAAGTTAATATGTTGTATTGATTCAGTTATTTTTTTATTTACTAGTCATTATGACACCAAGGGTTGGGGTGGGACTAGAACTAGAATGCAAATTTGTACATGGAATAAAACTTAACTGATTCGTAAGGAACTTCAAAACTCTGTCAAAGAAATATTGAAACATTCTGATGTTGGGGCTACAATGTGGTTCAGTTCCTTTAATAGAGTATTTGAAAAATCTAAAACAATCAGGTGAACGATATGTCCAATGGTCCTCTTATGTACAAAATTCCGAATAAAGAGCACTTGTTGGGGTGCTGATTTCTTTATTACACTATGTCATTTCCGTGCATTTAACTATTTGCAGACAAATCAAAACCCTTTTAAACTCCAAGTAATCTATTCGTAAGTGTAATCAATGATAATTATTTCTACAATGTGTCCATTACACATTTTGTTTGAGGTCTTTAACGTGGTCATCAATCTATAATGCTGGTTGAAAAACATTCTGCAGTATACATCAATTCTTGATTTTACCCAATATATCGATCAATGAAAGGTGGATACAAGTTTTTGTCCTATTACATACAGTCAACATGCGATACCGAGTAGACCTCTTCCTTTGGTCGTTCTTAACTTTCTTGCTTAAAGAATGTTTAGGAGAAGAAAATGTGACTGCAGAAAATATAACATCATTGAGGAAGTCTTTACTGCGGAACTACGACCCTTATATACGACCCCGGAAAAACCAAGCTGACCCAGTGATCATTAAAGCTTCTTTTTACGTCCATCGCTTCAACGATATAAATGAAAAGGAGGAAACTGTTACCTTGCTTGGCATCTTAAGGATTCTTTGGAATGATGAATTCCTAGTCTGGAACAAAGAACAGTATTCCAATATAAGTAGCATAGAGTTCAGAACAAGTGACATATGGTGGCCCACGATTGCTTTAGGGAATCCTGTCGGAGATTTTGAGACTTTTCAGAATCCTTACAAGATTTTTCGCGTCTCATCTTCTGGAGAAATTGAGTGGTATCCTGCCGGGTTATATTCAGTTGTCTGTGAGCTGAATTTAAAGAAGTACCCTTTTGATACACAAACATGTGATTTTATTTTCTCTATTCTTGGATACCCTTACGATGATGTTATAATCAATGCGGAACCTAGTGTTTTGGAGGTACGGGGAACAACCGAGTGGAAAGTTGAGGCCGGCAGAGTTTCTGGTATGCCTTACGGGAAGACTGGCCTGACTGCTAGCTTCACATTACGAAGAAAACCATTTTTTGTGGTTCTGACGGTGTTGTTGCCACTCTCTTTGCTGTCTGTGATGAATTTGTTTGTCTTTCTTATTCCTGTAGAGTCTGGCGAGAAAATATCTTTTGCAATCACCACATTCCTGGCTTACTCGATATACTTGTCGGCCATTGGATCCTCTCTCCCTGCCAAAGACAACGTACACATGGTGGTATACATTGAAATACTGATGGTCCTTAGTGTTATTATGATGGTATTGGTCATTGTTCAAACCAGACTCTTCTTTTATTATGGCGAACATCAAATTCCATGCTTTGTTGGAAAAGCAGTGTCTGACAAAAATATCGAAAGATCACATTTGGATGACTCTAAAAACACGCTCTCTGTAGAAACTTCAAAACCATTGAAAACAAGAACATGGGCAAGTAGTATGGCGATTATTGATAAGGTTCTTTTTATCTTTTTTTCGTGTATTTTAGGATCAGTCAGTATCTATTATTTTGATTTGATGATGGCCAAATCTTAAAAGTTAATAGACTGATTTGGTAAGACTTCTTGTCCTTTGAAAGCTCAAACTCTGTATTTGCATTTTCTTTGAAATTAAAAAAACACAAGATAAGTTTGGCAGTTTCTGAAAAATACTTAACATGCATCGACACAGTGTTCAATAGACAGCTCATCTCGACCCATGGACTGAATCATTCTTGGAGACATCAGAATGAACAGATTGACTAATTTATCATTTATGGACAGATGATACAAAACCTTTACTTAATTTACACAAAAGTGGAATTTGAAATGAAAAATATTTGTATAGATTACTATGTATGGCTGCAGAAAGGTAGAATAGTGAGCATCATAGAAGTTTTACAATGTCATAATATTTTGGAAATTTATCAGTTGTATCATTTGAAACAAAAGTAAGCCCAGAAATATGTACCAATCCAGGCATCCAATTTTTGTTTGTTTAATCTGTCCTTGTACACAGAAACAGCACTCTAAAAACTCACTTCTCAGTACGTACTG